TTTTCTCCAAAGCAGGAAATCCCCCCAATATTAAAGCCTCTCTTACAACCGTACCAGCCTCCTTTATTAAAATACTTATCAAAATTTAACCGTTCCTTTTGCTTTCAACATTTCCCTGTCACTGGTAGAATCCCTTCGTTTATCTTGCCTATGACTGTTAGGGTCTTGGAACTGTTGCACAAACCACTCAGACCTCATCTCAGTTAAATATAGCTGGTTTATTGAACCAAGATGGATTGATCAAACTCAGAGCTATAAAACTACAACCGTGACCGTTTTTCAGAGCCTGCTTTGTAGGGGGAGGTGCTGATACAAAAAGTTGGTTCCCTAATTGCTTCTTGATTTGGTCAATAAAGGCAGAAGTCTGGGGCTGGAGTGATGGCTCAGTGGTAAAGACCACTGACTGTTCTTCCAGAGGACCCGAGCCATATGGTGACTCACAACCATCTGATGCCCTCTTCTGGTCGCTTTAAATAAACCTTTAAAAAGAAAGAGAGAAAGGAAGGAAGGAAGGAAGGAAGAAAGAAAGAAAGAAAGAAAGAAAGAAAGAAAGAAAGAAAGAAAGAAAGAGAGGAAGGAAGGAAGAAAGGAAGAAAGAAAAGGCAGCAGAAGCCAATTTCGAAGGGTAAAGGTGGGACATCCAGATCCCAGGAGGAGAAGGAGCCGACGGGAGAGAAACAGAGAGAGGACACGATAACCATGTAAGGTCTTGTGGAGGCGGTAACTGGCAGCCCCTGCCACTGGCAGATGGCTGATATAGGCTAGCAGATAAGGTTAGGGCAGAAGAGTCTTTGCCCACCAATTGTTATCTGGCCAGTTCTAAGATAATAAAATAGTCTTTGTTTTTCATCTTTGGAGCAAAGCTGGGCAGAGAAAGAGGGAAACCAGTGCCAGTGCCGTACCTGGCAGTTTGGTGAAGCTAAGCTGGGAGGGGGTGGGGGTAGAAATCACAGCTCCCTGGGAGGGCGCCAGAGCTGAATCATGAGTAGAGCTCTCAGAAAGGCAAGAGGCAAGGCGGTAGCCTGTTTTCTAAAATTACACTCAACAGCTTCTATGCGCAAAAAAAAAAAAAAAAAAAGCAAAAACAAAAACAAAAGAAAAAAACAACAAAAAAAAACCAGTGAGCTCATAAGTGGGTGCAGGGAGGGTTGTAGCGAGCCTTTTTCCAAGCCTTTTTTTAGTCATTTAGACACAACAGTTCAGACTGACATCTATTTTGATGGATCCTGAGTGAAGGCTACAATTGGGGAATTTCCAATAATAATAATAAAAGCCTTGGGGCTGGAGAGATGACTCAGCACTGACTGCTCTTCCAGAGGTCCCGAGTCCAATTCCCAGCACCTACATGGTGGCTCACAACCATCTGTAATGAGATTTGATGCCCTCTTCTGGTGTGTCTGAAGACAGCTACAGGGCACTCATATACATGAAATAAATAAATCTTTTTTAAAGATAATAAGCCTCAGAATATATGCTCAACTTGACCTTGCTCTGAGCCAAACTATTTTTCTTTTTTTTTTCTTCTTTTTTTTTTTTGGTTTTTCGAGACAGGGTTTCTCTGTGTATCCCTGGGTGTCCTGGAACTCACTCTGTAGACCAGGCTAGCCTCGAACTCAGAAATCCACCTGCCTCTGCCTCCCAAAT